ATAGAAAAATAGAACATTCTTTTCTCTATCAGACTATATAAAAAGAAAGTTTCTTTAACCTTTCTATAAGGGATAAAAATACCACTGCCACTACTTTTGGTATGCCCTAAGTACTTTTGTAACCAAAAGCGATACAGATCCTGAAAGTCGACACTTCACGCTATCTTTCCATGTGCATATCTCAAAATCGATTTTTTGATCAAAATTGACTTTTTCTGGGTAGGGGGCCTTAACTGTGAGGGCATTGATTTTGAAATAGGAAATAATTTTTTTGAGGGAATGGCATAGCCAACGGTACCGTTCATTAACTGATTGGATCTTGCTCTATCGTTAAGAATCGTTTTTGCTTATATAAATATACATTGTGAATGGTCATTTCGACCATGAAAAAGTTCAACAGATTAACTAAAAATATGTGCATAACAAAAATAATGAGTGTACAAACAAAACGAGAAAAACCTAGACGCTAAAATAATTGACTTCTCTATCTTACGTAATCAGTCATACACTGGTTTAAAATGAGTTGCCGAGGTTGAACCCATCAGAAACCCTGCTCGTCTAGGCGTAAGATTCGAAACGTCAGATATAACACTGTTAACAGAGTTTGATCGTGGAGTTCTTGGTGTATGCAGTCCTGATGTTTGAGATATTCCATTTTGACAAAGTTTGTCGCGTAGTAATGTTAATCGATGACGTCTATCATCTTGAAGTGATATGTTTGGTTTTTCCCACTCATCCTGCGTTGTTACTTGTGAGTGATTGATTTTGTGTCCCATTCTCGAGGAAGCTTGTCGTCGAGCATTCTCTAATTCCTTCAAAGATTAAGTGATAATAATAATTTGAGCTTTTACAGTGTAAATCGAACTTACTTTTCGTTTTTTCAATGCTTTTTCTTGTTTTTCTGCAAGTTTTGCATTAAGTTCTTCTTTAGTAAATGATTCGGTTGTTGTTGACTGATTTTCTAACAGAAAGCGTGGGACGTGTTTCAAAGGTGCTAAGCTACCCATTTTTCGTTCGATTGGTATTGTCGAAATTTCAAACGTTTCACCAAAACCCAATCGTGATTTCTGAGAGTGTTGAACAAGAAAGTCGTTTACATTACTTAAACCAGTTTTATTATTATTGTCTATTTTCACTGTTAATCGTGTATTATTAACATCTCGTCCAGGTTCTGAAATTAACAATGATACAGATTAAATTAGAAAAAGGAAATTTGCGTCAAAGTTCCTTCTATTGAAGATATTTGCACTTAAATAATTGATGATCACTAGAAAATAACTTACGTGTTCCATTTAAGCTATTCTCGTGGTTGGTATTCGGATCTTCCGAATAGCCCGAATCTGCACTTCCGTTGGACTGTGCTGATGTGATGTTTTTTCCACGCTGTTCAATCGATGGTAGTACAGATTTGTTGTTTAAAGTATTTGGCGTAGATGTGTAATCATTTTGATTAGTAGAGGGATTTCTGGGAATTTTTGATGGATTCTGAACGGTTGTTGGATTGCTACTAGTACCACAACCCATGACGAAGTTTCAAACTTTCAAAAATTTGATATGATTGACTTATTGAACTCTTCTGTTTCAATGTCCTGCAGAAAATGTGTATCATTTAAATGTTTGCTAACATATTATTATGTTGAACTCAAAAAAAAATTGTTTTTCTCTCATAGCGACAGAAAAACAAATGCTGAATACAAAAGAAACACAAAACAAAAACAACGCCATTGTTTCTGAAGAGATTGTATACTGAAAACAGGAAAGAGCGAAAAAAAGATTTTAAACCACTCTGCTAGAAAAGAAACACTTTTCATTTACTTTATTTGTCTATTCGACTGTAAAATAAAGCTTTTTGTGACTTGTACATTGATCCGAAAAAACCATTCAAATATTCTATGTGGTTATGGAGAACTACGTCACGAATGCTATCGACCGTATAGTTACAAATTTTTCCTTTTCTGTTTAGATATCGAAAAAATTTGTTTGATATTACTGCATCATTAATAAAGTTAGTACAATTATTCCAATGTCCAAATCCGCTTTTAAGGCGTGAAAAGTGGTTAAAATGATGCCACGCTAAATTTTTAATCGATCTACGTCATACATCGATTTCTAAGAATATTCTGGCTGGCTCATGAGAGATTCTTACATAAACAGAACATTCATTCGGTAGAAAGCACCACTCTGTATTAAGGTTCTTATTGCTATAGTATTATTATTTGTTATCAGAACTAGAATTATGTTTTATTTTATTAATTTATTATCATAAAAATTAAAATACAAAACCCTAGTGAAACTTCTTATACCTCTTGGGCTAAGAAATCTCACAAGATCTTCGAAAAAATATTAAAAAGTCAAGATCTTGAATTCTTCAATCTTTCACTCTAGATCTTGGGAACAGAAACTTCAAGATCTTGACCGAATCTACTCAGGATGTTGCAAGAAAACTTTTCAATTAAGGGTATCCTTCCTCCTCATTTTGAGCTTTCCGTAGAAATGCTGTGAAATAAAAACTAAAACTCACTAAAGCTTTATATTTTCAGAACTGATTGGAAACTCAATGAAGCACTTTTTGTTTTTGTTTGAAGTTTTTAGCTATTGCCGCTCACCAATTTTCCAGAAAACTCGGTTTTCATTGGACCAAGTTTTTCAATTTTAGAAACCCGATAACTCGGTAAAGAAAAAGAAAATTCCAAAAATCTACCTCTACGCTATGACCATGAGTACCTCTGATAAAATTTTGAATTCAATCGGATGAAATTTAAAGGGGATCGTAATGTGGTACAATGAAAAACCGAGTTTTCTGGAAAATTGGTGAACAGCAATAGTTAAAAACTTGAAAACAAATAGTGCTCCACTGAGTTTCCAATCAGTTCTGAAAATATAAAGCTTTAGTGAGTTTTAGTTTTTATTTCACAGCATTTCTACGGAAAGCTCAAAATTAGGAGGAAGGGTACCCTTAATTGAAAAAATTTCCTTTATATTTTGGTTTCATTTCCGATCGTTTTTTCCACGAAACCTACTGGACAATAGGTAATCGAGTGGGCTGAATCCGAATATCATAGTGGTTTGGGTGTTTAGACATCCAGAGAGCGGTTTTCTGGAAAACAAGTTTTTCAGAAACGCTAAACGATAACCAAAGCCTTTCTTAATGACGCATAATTGTAGCCGGCACATTTCTGATTAAAATGAAACATCTCCCAGCTCTACACGACCTTTCTTTGCAGAGTTATAGAATTGCCCTAAATTGTTCATTGTCAGCTCAAAGCTACAGAAATAAGAAGGAAAAAATTAATTTAGGGCTCTTCTTATAAATTCTATAACTTTGCAGTACTTTCTCGAAGTATTTGAAAAATACTGAAGATGTAAATATTTTATTTTACAGATCTTCCGACATCAAAAGTTGAAGTCGAAAATGTTTTAAAACAATTTAGAAACCTGAGATGAAGTCTGGCGTATCTGTGGTAAAACTTAGAGCTCAATCGGACCATTGTTTCAAGGATCATAATGTGACTGGATGGAAACCACTCGTACTTAAGTGTCATTTGAGTATTACAAATAACATTATATAGGCTACTTTTTTCGGGTGATGCTTATGTCCTTGCGAAAAGTATCGGAAACTTTTGGGAGACGTATCATTTCATTGTGAAAAGTACGCTTTGCTCTACCAGACTATGCATAAGAAAAAATTTCAAAATACTGAAAAGGAGAGAACGTTTTACGAAAAAGAGTCTTTTTAAGTCTTCAAAAAAATACTTAAAAGTTTATAACTTTTTCAAAAGGAAGTCATGAAACGGTGGGTGCGATATCATTTTGTAGCTCATACTTTTCTCTACATTAGGATATGTTCACCTTATAATCGAAACTTTTTTTAAATATAGGGCGCGAAATACCCTAAAAGAACAAAAAAAATACTAGGAAGTTGGAAATTACTCTATTTAAGAATATTCATTGAAAAGAAATTAATCTCAGAAATAATTGACTA